AAAAGGAGGAGGATTGGCAATAGATGTTAGCTCAGAGCTGGTCTTCCTCAGCAAAAAGAGGAGGATTAGCATGGATGTTAGCTCAGGGCTGATGTCTCTCATAAAAAAAAACCCAATACAATGCTCATGGAGGAATTCCACTATCAAAATAAGGTTCTATTCATCATTCTCTGTTAATCACAGAATATTAGTTCAAAGCATTAAAAACACTCTTTTGGCTTGAGGACAATTTATAAATAAAATATTGGAACTTCTACTTATTTTACCTCAGTCTTTCAAAATTTTGTATGTGTTTTACAATGCATATATTAAACACTTTCATAAAAGTTTAGAGGTTATTGTTCTGAAATACTAGGTGATTTCTGAGAACTCTTAGTAGCTTTAATTCCTAAGGATCCACAATTTTCCACCTGGGACTCCTGCTCCTTCCCAAAAGTTTGACTAGTATTGAAAAGGTGGGCCTCCAAAGTCTTATCTCAAGAACCCCCTGTCAATAAAGAATGTATCCCATTTGATGTCAAATTATTCACTTTTAATATTGACTCATAATCATCTTAGTTCTTTGGTCCTCGACCACAAATGTCATGACACTAGGCCTCAAGAGAATGTTCTATATGTCCTCAAGTGTGGTACAAAGGAAGAAGTAGAGGACCACTGGGAATTCTATAAAAGCCAACTTTAAAATTTCGCTTTAAAACAGCTCCAAGACAGACTACAACACTCTAAAATCACGCCAGAGCACTGCCAAACCATTTGATAAGAAACGCTATTTTTTTTAATTTAAAAGAAATGCTATTAAAGCCAATCCAAAAATGTCAAGATATATTATTTTTTTCTTTTAAAAATACTATCTGTAATATGATTTATTTATAAAATAACTTCACTGGACAAAATAAAAAGCAACCCTATATTGGCCCCACATTTATTTTAAAAATTTTATTGATCTGAAATCTCAATATTTAGAAACTAATGTTTTAGACTAAATTATAAATATCTACCTCATAGAAGCAGCAGGGCAGGATATAAACATAATGACACATATTCTAAAACATAATGACATATATTCTAAAAACTTCCCACTTGAGTGTTTCTTCATGGGCTTAGCTATTTACTAACATCCACCATCCCCTAAAGTGATGAAATACGTAATAAACAGCAATACAGGCCACTTGTAATGATCTGTCCTAATATTACAAGGAAATCATGATACAGAAGAGTACCCCATGTTCTCCCCAGGCTTTACTGATGTCCATAGATGATAACCTCACTCTCCCATTCTCAAAGTTCTCTGAACTCTCAATTCCCATATTCACTTACCACACCCTAGCAATCCTTACTTAGGGTTACTTTAAAACCTACTGCACCTTCAGAGCTTTAGAGCCGTTAGACTATTATTTCCTCCAGGATTACTAGTGTTAGTCTGTCTTTCTGCATTCTGTTCTTTTGTGCCAATCAACTCCAAACATAAACTACCTGCAGATTTATCTTCTAAAAAATGGCTTATGACACTTCACTGTTCAAAACTCTCAAATTCTCTAAAATCTAGAGGATAAAACCCAAATCAACAATTTGGGCATTAAAGGCCTTTCATTATTTACTGATAGATCTCACTCCCGTTTATTTCCAACAAGTTTATCTCATTGAACCCTTTGTTGTAGTCACTGATTTTAAGACACCAATGACATAAAAACAGCCTTTTAGGGGCAAAAAGAAATGTGCTACTACATTGAAAGTACATCTCAGTTGTAATATATATTCTAATTTCAGAAAAGCTGGTAAAATTTGATGGAATAAAATTCCAACCATGACAACTAAGACAATAGTCCTGTAAAACAGAGTAACTGAATGAGTTCCCTCAAGTGAGTTTTATGTTTGGTTCTGGAATGCAGGAGAGAAAATTAACGCAGGTAAGCCAATAATATTGACAGTCAACACTTGTTTTTTACTCTGGTAAATATACTAGTAACCCACCTTTCGGGGTGGTGGGCAATAACAAAGGTAATTTGAATTAATCCAGAAACATGGTTCCTGTTAAGATTCTCCTTTCTTCAGTATCTTATTACAATAAATGTGAACTCACAGCCATTTACCAATATCAGAAAATGATTTATCTGTTAACTTCTTTGCTATCTAGCTCTGCCACGAGAAAGTAAGTTCTATGAGGACTAGAACTTTTGTTTACCAATGAAACCCAGGTGACCTGAAGAATATCTGGAACACAGTGGGCACACAAAAAATTGCTGAATAAATTCGCTTGGCAAATCCAGCACCTCAAGATGATAGAAGGTAAGATGCTTGCTCAATAGCAAATATCACTGAGCAAGGAGCTGTGGGAGACACAGTGAGCAACCAAGAAAGAGAGAATGGCCTTTGTCTCCAATCTGGCAGAACTCCAGCATTTCTGCTATAATGCTATAATAGTATTGCTGCTATTCAGCAAATGGTTTATTTCCCAAACTCAATTTATTTGTCTTATTTTCCATGTCAAGATGAGAGTGTTTTAGAAACTGGCATTGGAACCAAAGAGTCTTTAGTATGCTCTATATGTCTTTTAAAAATTTCTATGTACCTTCTGAAGTACATTAGTTTTTAGGCATGGACCAGAAGCAGCTAAGCTATGGTCAATAGCAACAAGGAAGGTTTGCTACTTTACAGATAAGACAGAAAAAAAATCCAGGAGTCCACTCTATACTTCAGAAAGTTTTTATAACACCCCTAGATATCATAACACAGTGGCTAGCAAACTGTCAAAAAACAGAGGAACGACACTGTTTTCCCAAGAGGTTGTTGGGTTTTTTTGGTTTAACCATCAAGGGCATAACCAAAAACCACTTTCTTATACCTGACAGTAATATATTGTTTTTTTGCTTTCCCACTATCAACTCTTCAGCCTCTCAGAAAATAATTTAGATTTATATGACTTAACAAGAAAACGGAGAGACTCCAAGGTCAATATGAGAAACCTGCCAAATATCTTATTCTTTTCTGGTATTTTGGTAATTCAGGCAGTCTGAGAAATAGATGAGAGAGAAATGGTACAGCCTAATAATCTTCACTTGTAATACTTTCCTTTAAAAAAGCTTATAGCAAGATTATACAGTCCAGTTGCATACTATAACAAAACAAGGCAAGCACTGAAAATCCACTGTCCAGATATTAATGGCTCCAACAATTCTCTCCTCTCCCCTCTCCTTTGTCATCAGTTTTCTCATCAGCAAATATACTGTAATAGCTCTATCCTAAGAAAGATTTCCCTCCCTTGAATCAAACAGGCTATTTTCCTGCTCTCCTTTATAGAAACATTCTTTAAAAATGTTATTTATCATGGTTCTCTCAATTCCTTCCCTCTCAATCTCTCCTGAACCTATTCCAATCAGAATTTCACTCTTCTCGCTCTAACAAAACTGCTCACAAAGGTCTCCAACTACCTTGGCCCTCCATATCCAATGGTCAATTCTCAGTCTTAATCTAACTTGACCTGTCTACAGCATTTAACATTTAACACAGATGATCACTCCTTCCTCTCTGAAACAGTTTCTTCACTTGCCTTCCACAAACCACTCTCTTGGTTTTCCTTTTACTTCACTAGTCACTCCTTCCCTGTCTCTTCCTTATCTTTCAAATCTCCAAGTCTTAGAATGCCTCAAGGCTTAATTTACCTACCTCTTCTCCATCTGAGCTCCCAAACATTTCCTATTCCCTTCCTCTGCTGCATTTTCCTCCCGAGCACTTAACATTATAGGACATACCATACACTTCATTTATTGTTTCGTTTATTTTCTGTCTCTACCCACTCGAATATTTCATGATGTAATGCTTTTTGTCTGTTTTTGTTTAGTGTTGTATTCCCAGTGCATAGAACAGATCTAGCTCATTGTAGGAGCTCAATAAATATTTGCCAAATGAGTGAATAAACAAACAAAAACAGAAGTGGTAACAGCCACTTTGGACTAGTAACTTACCAGCCAGACACCGCAGTAAGCATGTTACATATATTTCATTTAACTCTCAAACAACCCTATGAGATCTTAGGGGTGTTGGGGTTTGGGGTGGTGTTAACATGCTCCAGATCCCAAACTACTAAGTGGCAGTACCATGATTCAAACCGAAGTTTATCATCTTCAAAGTTAATGCTCTTAACCACTGCATGGTATTAATTTTACTAGAGTATTGTTTCATTAGTTTTGGAATAAATGCTACTCTGCTATTTGAAGAGTCAGCAATCAAAAGTTTCCTGCAGTTGTGAATTAATCTCCATTTTCTCTGTGAAGACAAACATTTGTTAGTAACATCAATACAAAATTTTAATGGAGATTCTTTATTTAAAAGGAAGCATTCCACACTGCCATTTCTAGTTATAACAGTACAAGTGAGAAGGCACACCACTCTCCTTCCAAGTGCTGATGGCAGCGATTAAACTTCCTCTCTCCCATTTCTATTAAAAAGCTCAAGCCAATGGTTTCCAAACCTGGCTGAAGAGTCACCTAGGAGCTTTTTGTTTTCTGAAAACAAGATTCCCAGGCCCAATTCCAGAGCAACTGAATCAGAATCTCTAGGAAACAGGGCTCAGGAACCTAGAATTTTTTAAAGCTCCTCAAGAAACCTTAGTGGTTAGCCAAGTTTGGAAAACACTAGTTAAATGAACCAAAGTTGGCAAGAGACTAATACCTCTATCTGAGCATCTGGCTCACTGTTTAACAGTGACCAAGTCTCACTGGTACTGACCTTCTTGGAAAGAGGAACGATGCTGTTGGGTCGAACAAGCCTCCGTTTCTTACAGCTCAGTACAGGACGTGTTCGGGCTGCCACACAGGTGCCATCAGTTGATGAAGAAACTAGATTCAGTCGTTGCTTTTTATGTAATTGTTCTTCAGCATCAGAGCTGTCACCTGGAATATGGTCTGCCAAGACAGGCTGAAGTCTACACAAGAGGAAGGAAGAACATTCACTTCTCAGAAGACACAAGGAAACAAAGTCTCTAACACTGGTTCAACTTCCTCTCCTTACAAATGTTCACAGACACAAACAAGTATCCTAGAGCAGAGGCAAGTCATCTCTTGATGCTGATGTCTGCCAATCGAAGTGTGTACGCAGTGTCTGTGCTTATTTGTAAGGCTCTTGGTGGACATTAACTCCATCATGTCTGAAACATGCAAAAGCCAGTAAGTAAAGAACTCAGGTTCTAGTGGTTAAGTTCTCTTCTACAACAGACATATGAATAAAGTCTAGAAAATTGCAACTGGTAAATAAATGATGAATTCTGCAAATGTTAATGAGCTGCCTGAGAATCAGTTCCCCTGTAAAATTCAACGTTTAGGGATGTGTACACATTGTTCACTTGCAGAGGGAGTCCTTGAACTTTCATAAATACAGATTTACAAACACAGCCTTTAGGAATCTAATCTGTTCTAGAGTAGAGGATTTTATGAAAACACTTCTGAGGAATTCTACCAAGACTAAGACCAATCGCAATGATTTACAATAACTGCAGGACCTTTTATTTTTCTCCATGCTGAGTCAAATTCAGCCCACAGTAAGTAAAAGGGAAATACATTAGCATGCTAATTAAAATATACTTGCTACAGTAGGAAGCATGCAAAACATTATTAAGAGATAAGGCTTCTGCTTCTTTAACCCAGGGTTAGTCCTGGCTAGGGAAAACTAAGAGCCCCAAACTCATCTTTTACAAGCCTATCCAGTGGAAGAAGTAGAAGAGATAAAACTTACGTGTTAATAACTCCATTGACAGGTCTCAGTGCTCCACATGATTTGGCCGACAATGACTCTGAAGGATGACCAGAGACACCATGGTTTTCCATTGGCTGAGAAACAGACTCGATCTGAATTAGAAGAAAAATAAAAATATATATCAACATTTAAAACACAGCACCCAGCCTGAAAAGCAGTACCATTTCACTTAAATGAAACACCTGAAATTTCTGATAACTAACTTGAAAAACAAAATCGTATGACTATAAAAAGAATAACTAAGAGAATTAGCTTTGGCTTTGGGGAAAAAAGGGGTGAAGAAATATTTAACAGACAAAGTAATATGTGCCTACTGACAGGAAAATGAGCTAATGATTCCATGCAACAGAAGCTTAGCAAAAGAACTACATAGTAACAAGAGTCTTCAACTATGGGTCAAGAAGGATACATAAGTTCAGTACCAAGACAACTAAGAAGAAATTTAAATGTAGTTAATATCTGCTTAACTTCACAGTGTATGCAGGAAGCTTGTTTCAAGAAAACCATATTTTGTTTAATGAAATCTCAATGAATAACTAATTATAATGTTATCAGGTAGTTAACTATTGTCTTTAGACTAAACAAATCAAATACATGCTTAGAATATAAAATGAAAAAAGGGAGGTGGGAAAATGTGGAAAAGTTTAAATTTCACTATTTCAAAATAAATTATATATTTACTAGGCTCAAAAGGGATAGAGGCAGCTATGAGATGTCAATCAAGTGGAGTCTCCGAGGTACATATAAAAAAAGCCATAGATGCAGTTAGCCCTCAGCTCTGGGAATTGCTGGAATACCAGAGAAAGGCTGTGGTCTTTGTCTCCTTACACTCAAACTGACTTTGAGGTGTTCTAAAATTCTCCTTCTTGTAAACGCTATCAGTGCCTATCAAAGCCAATATTTTCAGGCTGAAATTCTATTTATCAGTGTTGCTGAACTTCTTTTCGATCTTTACACCTTCATGGAGAAAACACCAAAGGTTCTGCAGACCTAAGAGTAGTTGTCAACAAGTATCAAGAAAGGACAATACGGTTGGGAAGCTAATTAAAAAGTTTAAAACAAATTATCCAGAGAGCTAGATCAAAGTATATGAACAGACAAGACATATAAGTCAACTACAATAAGTGAACATTAGGAAAATGTTCTTTCTTGTTAGATATCTTGCACATCTACTATGATATCATGAATATCCTGAACAATTACATTCGTCAATGCTGCCAAAATACAGTAAATTTGGCACACATACTCACTACACTTAAAAACTACACTGCCTTAAAAACTACACTGATTTCCTCTTGGAAAGTCATGAGGTATTAAATAGCAAGAGTCATAAAGATCTTCTTATCTTCTGACAAAGTATTTTACTCAATCCTAAAAATCTATCTTAAAGAAATAACAAACACATCCCTCAAAATCTTATACACAAAGGTGGTCACTGCAATGATATCTATCAGTAACCTAAATGCTCAACATTTGAGGTATAGTTACTAATTGTGGCATACCAAATCAGAATATTAAAAATAATCATAAAGGATATTTCTTCTTTCTCTGGGCCAGAAGAATATTTAAAGATAAAAAATAATACAGTCCTTTACTAGAAATGATTATGGAAAAGAGTTAAATTCAAAATATGTTTGTGACTAAAAATGTACATAGATAATGACAAGACAAAAATATTGTTAGAGGTAGTTAGTTAAAATATAACTTTAAATTAAAATTTAAAAAATATAAAGAGGTATAAAATTTTCTTTTTATTTAGATAATATTTTTACGTTGAAAAAATAGATAAACGCAAATATCTTCCTGAATGCTAGTGAGGATTTACTATTAAGGGGGAAACTCAAAAAGCCCAAATAAATATTATGGTATGACAAAGGACTGGAAAATCAGAAGGATTTAAGATTCAGGTTGGCATTAACTAGCAGATTTGCGACTTCAGGCATGTTACAGCTTTCCTAGATTTCAGAAGTTCCAGTTTAGATGAAGAAGTTTCCTTTCAACATGAAAATGCTGTGACTATGAACTTTTTGCTAGTATATTCATCTTAAGAACTTCTGTCAATTTCACATTCACTTAAAATAATAGCTTTTAGCATTAAATAATGGCAGAGATCTGATTTATAGGTCTACATGTTCTACAAGGCCATGCCATGTTTAAGTAACAGGTTGACTCTCCATTTGATTAAGGTTTATTTTGTAGGGTTTATGGGAGAATTAAGTGCAAGGACACCTGTCAAGACAAAATGTTGCCATTCTTAAACAAAATCTCATTTCAAAACAAATTCATCTTGCTTATAAAAAGAGAGTCTAAACAAAAAGGACAACTCACCAGTAATCTCACCACCTACAGCTAACTACTGCTAGTAGCCTACCTTGTTTTTCATGCCTACAGATACATATATTTAAATACTATCAACCTTCAACGTGAAGTTTATTGATTTTCTTAGAGGAACTCAAACAATTTGGAGGGTAATTCAGCCCTCCAAATTGAAATTGAAGTCAATAGGCAAAACACTATTTAACACAGAAATGTCTGTCAAGCATATAAAAGCAGTCAGCAATCAAGAGCATGAACAGAGACTGTGCCTGAATTCCAGTCTCAACCATACAAGGAGGCACTGAATATTCAGGAAGAATCTGCTTAGAGACCTTGGGATATCCTGTAATCACAGTGAGATCCAAAAGCAGGGCATTGGAGCAACTAGGTTCATCACTCAGTCTTAAATGCAAAGAGTTTAAAATATTAACCCCAATCCTCCAACAGTGTTCGATCTGACAAAGAAAAACAGAACTCACAAATACATGCGATTTTACTTAGAGCTTCTTAAATGCACTCACACTGCCTTAAGACAAAGTGAACACTCCCTATCCCACAGTCCAAAAGACTGCAAAGACAGAGGGCAGACAAACATCAACAAACACTTTGCAAATGTTAAATCCACATACTAATTTGAGCTTGATCATTACTACTGCAGTGGTGTACATCATAAGTATTTTCAGGAAACTAAAGCAAGACTCAGATACCTGTTATCCAATGGAAAACTGTAAAAAGGATCAAAGAATTTAAGGCTCTCGCATACAGAAAGTAGGAGTTATTATAGAGCTTCTCTCGAATTTTATTTGATGTTCAGATACACTTGTGGGTACATGCATCCCACAGCCAGAAAGAAAAAAGAAGAAAAGCTGAAGTGATAAATCAAGTGCTTCCGTAATCCCCCTTTTTCCAAAGCAGAGCCCCAGGGGATTACCTTTTGGGGCAATCTTAGAGTTAAAGGTAGCAAGCAGGGCTAGGGAAGTGATTTCTTTCCCTGACTGAAAGGGCAAGTGTATGGAATAAAACGAATAACACAGTAATGAGATTCAAATTTGTTATTCATAGAAAACAGGCACCTGTCTGATTCATTACTCCACCCTCCTGGCCAGACCAATTCAGTGTGACAAAGAGCCCTTAAAGAAAAGACAGATTAAATTAAGAGGTCCCATGGGGTAGATTCTTCTGGGGTCTAAGAACCCACGCCCACTGGATTTATTTTACCAAAAAGCAGAGAAAGTAAACAGGTAAAAACCCAAAGGCACACACTTAAATACGCATAATAAATTAAATTCTACCTGCAAGGTACGTGTGCATGTATTTTTACTTTAGTCATTCAATGAATGTCATGTCATAACCGTTTGAAATACCATTTTCTTAAATGTACCACACTTGTTCGTCTAGAAAATTTAACAGTTCAGTTCTGGTTAGTTATTGCCTTTCTGACAAACATCAAAATGGAAAGAAAAGGCTAAGTGTAAGGAATTCAACTTTTATTCCTTGGTCAAAATAAATTAGTTTTTGACTTTATATGAATTATTTCATGTTTCAAGCTCCCTATCTCAATGATACTCAGCATGGTCTTGCTTAAAATCACCAAAATATTGCTGGCCCATAAATAGTATACCAGTCATTTCCATGAACTAGCACTATGACTAGGAAATTGTGCTAAATTGGGAGTGGAATGTTCTAAAAATTCCAAGTTACACACATAGGCTTCAATTTCTGCATATGTAAAGTGGGACCATGTGCCTCACTTTCCTACTTCTCTATGTTGAGGCTAAAAGAAAATCTATACAATTATTTGAAAATAATTCTGAGTTATTCATTTCTAAAAATTTCAATCACCATAATGCTGTTACAAATGCAAAGACTACTAAACCTAAGATTTATATTTACCAACACCATTAAAAATATACATCTAGAATCTAAAGAGATACAGTAATTGCAAAAACAGCCTTGTAAATTCTTATTGCTCAACTTACTTATCCACAGGATCTTAAAAGCCCTAATGGATCAGTGTTTTTTTAATACTGTGGATCAAATATTTAATAGCCAGTATCTCTCTCTCTACTCTCTATCTCATAACCCTTGCTGAACCAACAACACACCATTCATTGTCCCTGGTGACTGCAAAACTTCAAGAAAAAGAAAGTTGTTCCTGCTTACCCAATGGTAGCAAGATTATACTTCAAATTGTTTAAAAAGAAAAAGCAATAGTTCACATTTTTAGCATGCCTTTCTGAGAAAGCATTAGTCCTTCACTTAATAGTTCACTTGTTATCCCCATCACTTCCATAAAGTACGGAAAGGGTAAAAGAGTGAGGCTTATTTTACAAATACAAACAAACACAAATTAAGAAGTCAATTTGTCAAAAGCCACAGAAGCAATGCTTTTGCTAAAACAAAAAAAAAAACCCTCTTCACTTTTAAATCTAGTCTTTTAAAAAACCTTTACCCAGTAATTACCTTTCCTATAAGAAAGAAAGGAACATAAGAAAATATACATATATTTGCTCATTTAAGCAAAAAAATTATAGGAAGGATAATCCAAAAACTAATGAAATTGGCTACCTACAGGAGGTGGGAACCGGATGGAAAGAAAGGGAAGAAAATAGGAACACAGTAGTAGGGATGACAGCCCTTTGTAGAGCTTCAACTCTTAGAACTGTAGTAATGTTTCACATATTCAAAAAATAAATAATAAACATCAACTACTGTGTATATGTTTGTGTTGGGGGGAATAAGAAGTGGAATACCGCAGTAACAAAAGAACCTAAGT